AATTACTGCTTTGACCTCAAGTTGACTATTTTTGCTTCTTTGCTGTCTAATTTTCTGTCAGTTCCAGCCAGTATACATGTTATATCAGATATTGCAGGTTTCAAGTGTAACAGTTCCATATGTATCATTTTTATATCTTCCCCATCTCTACTTAGTGATTTAATATATAGAATATAGTTATAACAACTGTAACTGTACACAATTCCATTATCTGTGTCATTTCTGGAAAGATTTACATAGATTTTTCTCTTCACTATTACTCATAATTTTGTTTGTTTGCGTGTCTTGTAATTTTCTATTGAGTGCCAGATGTTGTGATTTTGTCCTGTTGGATGATTGATATTCTTGTAATTCTATGATTGTTAGCTTAATTTTGGAACATAGCTAAATTTCTTGAAAATTGTTCCCTCTATGTCTTGCTTGTAAGATTTTTAAAATAAGTCTGGAGCAGTGCTCAGTCTAGGATTAATTTTTTCTCATTACTAGTGCAAGTCCCTTCTTTGTACTTGTATCCCATGCATCTTGAGGTTTTCTATTCTGCCTGGTGGCATCATATGCTATTTCTGAATCTGTGTGACTGTCAAGCACTGTTACTTCTAATGCAATCAGGTAGTCCTTGTTCTTCACTCAGATAATTTACTCAGATGCATGGGGTGATCAGTGTTCTGCAGGTGCACATGTAGGTGTGTGTGGGTGTGTGTGTAGCTACCTCTCCTCCCTGATACTCCCTTCCATGGAGCCTAGCCATCCTGGCCTCTGCACCCTGAGCTCCACCTCCTCAATTCCAGAAGTCTTCTTGGGCTCCCCTACTGTTCCATGGCCTGAAATTGCTGTCTATGCAGTAAGCCAAGGCAATTGTAAGGCTCAACCAGTTTGTGTCTCATCTCTCAGGGATCTCTGTCTCTTACTGTCTGACCTCAAGTATCTTGAACATCCTTGTTCTATATTTTAGGGTCATTCAAGTGGGAAGGTAAATCTGGTCTATCTTGGCCAAGAGTAGAAGTCTTCCTAAAGCTTTTTTTATTTCTCATTACTTGCAATGACTTGGTGACAGCTCAGGATATGTATTCACTAAACAGTAGATCAAAATTATTCTATGGAATTTTGCTTACTGTGTGGCACATTGAACTTACAATGTAGGGCCATCAAGTATGTCTCTTATGGTATATTTATATTTGTATTAAGATGGTCTAGTCTTTTGTCTCAGTTCTGAGTAATTGAAGTTTTCACTCAAGCTATTTTTATCATTAATTCGAGCAGAATAAGATTTTAGTTAATTTTAAGTGGGTAAAATCTGAATTTACAAAGAGAAATATTGTGTCAGGTGTAATGAAGAGATTTATTAGTAAGGATGTGGATTGTCAAAACAGAGAGAAGGAAAAATCTTTCAAGTCTTATATGGCAGGCCTGGCCCTGTGGCATAGAGGGTAAAGCCACCGCCTGCAGTGCCGGCATCCCATATGGGTGCCGGTTCAAGACCTAGCTGCTCCACTTCTGATCTAGCTCCCTGCTATGGCCTGGGAAAGCAGTGGAAGATGGCTCAAGTCCTTGGGCTCCTACACCCACGTGGGAGACCTGGAGGAAGCTCCTGGCTCCTGGCTTCAGATCAGCACAGCTCCAGCCATAGCAGCAATCTGGGGAGTAAACCATCGGATGGAAGACCTCTCTCTCTCTCTCTCTCTCTCTCCCTCTCTCTCTCTCTCTGTCTCTCTCTGCCTCTGCCTCTCTGTAACTCTGCCTTTCAAACAAAAACTAAATAAATCTTACATAAAAAATCCTATATGGAAAACTTTCATTTTCCATGGACAATCCTGGCTCATCATGTCTAGACTAGGAAGTCTTTTCAATAATTCCATCCGATTGCCCTACTGGACATTTTATCAGGACTTTAATAGCTATGAAAGGTGACTGAAGTAACTTCTGCAAGGTGGAGGAGTGGCTAAACAAGAAATAGTGGAAAGGCTGGTAGGGTCTGGTCTATACAATATTTAAGACTCCTTGTAGCTCTAAACCCAATTACAGACTATCAAGTCTACACAAAGAGTCAACTATCACATTCTAAAGTGTTAAGGAACCAAACCACGCTCTGATAATACATCATGACCTAGTGTTATTGTCACACCCCACAAAAAGACAAAAAAATTGCTTGAGTATCTATATCTTAGATGAGTGAAATTTACCATAAGTAATATAATAGATTTAGCTTTAATTCTAAGTACTAAGCACCACCACCAACAATTCCTGTCTTCCTGGAATAAGTATAATCTTTATATAAAAAGGGGAAAAAACAACATAAAAAAGCAAGATCAGTCAGATAGTTCCTAAGTTGTTTCCAAGACGTTAAAACAAAACAGTAATAAATTCTGAACAGGGATATATTTTAAATGGCCGACATACATTTAATTCCCTGAAAGTGATGTCAAAAATGCAAGTGTTGAATACTTTCTTGAGGGTTACAAGTGTGAAAATACAGAATGAATAGTAAGCTTCACATTTTCTTTAGACACTTAAGGATCCGCTTTCCATTTCAATTTTTCTTTGCTCATTTTGTTATTGAAATGGTAATTCAGATTTCTCCCAGTGAAATAGAAGACCCTATAATGGATATTCTGAGACTGAAAAGTCAGGACAGACTTGTTTCTAGTTCAAGTCTATGGACCTAAATGTTTAATATGAAGAAAAATCAATGACCGGCCTCCTGCTAAATTCTCTGGACTTTGTTCTGAATAAGTTTCCTCAATTTACATAGCACAGCACTGATGCCGCTGACAAATTCCAAAGCAGCATGCAACAGTGGTTCCTAATTGCTTGAGCATTTATCATGCACGAGAGACAGGAGGGAAGTTGTCTCATTTTGTACAGCTCAGTTGCATTTCTTATCTCTGAAGTACACTTAAGCAGCAAACGGGGACTTAAGGTAGCTGCCTGAAAACCAGCATCCATTAACATGCATATCTTGGAGGGGAAATGAATTGGTTTTGCTAAAACAGAATACAATTCGACCTCCTCCTGCACGTTAATTTTGCCTATTTTCTCTCTTGCACATTTTAAAAATTAGGGGCTGTGTCTGGTTTACCCACACGAACTCTCATGTTCACATTTTCTGAGTTGTGCCTTTGTTGGTATTGTTCTGGGAATCATTTTTAAAAAACATTTTGATGCATTTCCAAAATGCCCTTTGGGATCAATTTACACCTGGTAATATTTTTCTAAGAAGTCACTGGAGGTGCTTAACAAATGTATACTTAGGCATCTCCTACCTCACAAGTCTTCTGGGCAGGTTTTATCTTTTAAGGAAACAGTACCCCTATACAGTCTACAAAGAACACTTGATTTCTATGTGTGAGACTAGGAGAGCAGGAAAGCTGAAATTGTATTTATGCACTCTTGAATGCAGATCCTGTTAGTGAGTTCTGCTGATTATTGAAGCAGTCGCAGACTATGCCTACTGTTCCAAGAATTCAAGTCCCATTAAGATGTGAACCCAAATAAACACACAATGATCATGTGGCTTAGTAAGCACAGATGCACCTGTTTGTCTTTGACAGGCTATTAGAGATGAATAAAATACTTTTGAGTTATGCCCTGAGAAACATAGATTGCCCCTTGAAGTGAGGTTTAGAGTTCACACACATATGTAAGTGTGTATATATGTGTGTGTGTATGTGTGTGTGTGTGTGTGTGTGTTTGTGTGTGTATGAGGGACCTTCAAAAAGTTCTGGGGAAAATGTTTATTTTGAAAAAACTCTGCATGGATTCCAAAAATTTTGCCCCAAAGTAAGCTTGTCTTTTAATTTCATCTTCCACAAACTTTTTGAAGTACATAGATAGATCCTGAAAATGCTCTGTGTAGACAGCTTTTTGTATGTTTATTTATTTTTATCTACTTGAAAGGCAGAGTGAGAGAGAGAGAGAGAGAGAATATCTATCTGCTTGTTTACTCCCCAAATGCCCATAACAGCCAGGGCTAGGCCAGGCTAAAGCCAAGAGTCTAGAACTGCTTTCAGGTCTCTCACGTGGATAGCAGGGGCCCAAGTGCTTTAGCCATGATCTGCTGCCTCTCAGACTGAATTAACAGGAGACTGGATGGGATGAGGAGAAGCCAGGGCTTGAACCAGGCCTTCTGATATGGGATGCAGCAATCCCAAGTGGTGGCTCAACCCACTGTACCACAATGCCTGTCCCTGTGTGGACAGTTTTTTTTAATGATAAGAACCTTATTACACCCCCTTATTGTGCTCTACTTCTATATGCAACTTCTCAAGTGCATCAAGTAAGGTCAAGCTATACAATCAAGCAAATTGTCTTCGTACAGATACCTCTTGGAGTTTGATGGCACCTGCCTTCTTACTCTTTGGCTCATCTGAACCCCCAGATGCCTTCCTTCCTCACCATTGATCTGGGCCAGGCATTGGTCCTAGAGTCTTGTTTATGTTCATTGCCCTCCTGCGTAGCAAGGGTAATTTGGTAAAAATAAATGAATAAATTAATAAATCAGCAAAGGAGGTGCAATTATTTTTCTAGTGTTTCTTTAAACTTTCGGTAAGGCTGACATAGAATTTGCTAATAAGTTATTGATATTCAGTCTGCCTATCCTATATTCCATCAATGCAAAAGTGATATTAGTTCATTGGTATATTTTCCATCTACTCATATTTGCCTTCTTAGTGCTTACAAGTAAGGAAATGAAAATGGAGTGTTTAAAGGCCAAGAGTAAGCAGCACGGGAAAGGGACAGAAAAACAATTGTAAATGGGCCCCTCAGTTTCCTTGATCAGACGTTCCAGGATAGAATTTACACATTATCATGTTCCACATGAAAGCTCTGGGAAGTCATTTTGTAAATCAGGATCACCTCCACATTTGAAACACAGACAGTTGACTTTATTAACTCTACTGAAAAACCAAGTATCTGAAACAGTCAATTCTATCACAAAGCAGGAAAACTTATGAGAGCAGAGACAATATTGGTAAGAAAAACATGAATCTGCACACGATAAATTTACATGAACACATTTATTGCAAGTAGCTCTATGGGACGGCAAGTCAGATATATATATATATTTATTTATATATATATATATATAAACACTATACAGAGTTGCAAGGTTGTCTCCCAAAACTGCAAATGCAATGTTTACAAAGAAAAGAAAGTCTAAGAATATTTACAAAGGAAGACAAAGCCAGAGCAACTCAAAGCAGATCTGTAAAGCAGAAACAGTAAATGTAAAGACTGTTGAAACTGTCAAGTTTTCGCTTTTACTGACCAAGTGAGTATGTCTGATACCAAATTAAATGTAGAGGTCACAAAAAATCGTTCCATCATTGTTTTGTTTCTTAACAGCAGCATAAACTGGTAGCTGGAAGGTAAGTGATATGCTGGTACACATATTCTACAAAGATTCTTCCAGCACAATACTGAATAAATTGTGTCTGTAAACTAAGAAGTAGTGTCAAAAAGATTGCATATTTGTTATGCTTACTGTGACTATTTGTACCTGTTACTATTTGTATGTACTGTTATGTATGAAGTCTCCCATTCATTTATTCAGCGATGTTATATCTGTGCTGTCCCCTCTGCACCCTGTCTGCTGGCAGCCCTGAACCTAAAATGCAAATAAAAGTGTTAAAGCCTTTTCCCCAAAATAATCTTCCCTTCCCACAATTCTGAACGATTATGACTTAACTGACTTGAATATAAGATAGTGACAGAAGGCTTGAATAAAGGCTGCCAAAAAGAGCACACGGTTATCATAATGAACAAAAGCCACACTGCAATATTTCATTAGGTTGGGAAAAGAGAGGAACAGAAGGAACTGATGAAGTTGATGCCCTAGCAGTGACCAGTAACTGGAGTAGTGACTGGTACCCTAGCCACATCCCCTCCTCAGCATCACTCACAAGGGGAAAAACAAAGAGCCCCCCCCCCAATCCCTTTTGTTGGTAGGCAAGGAAAAACAATACAAGTCGACTTAGCTCTTTGGAAAGGTTAGTTTAGCAACATGTACTGTAAGCCTGCTGAAAGATAGAAGTACACGTTCAAAGACATCAAAACCCGAGTGGCGATAAACTTCAGTTAAATATTACACTATTTCAAAGTTGCACATTAAATGCGAAGCAATTTTTTTAAGAGTTACGCACAACAGGTACATCAACAATCACGTGTTCACAGGTGCACAAAGGTGTGCATACACACAAATATGTGCATGCACACACACACTAGCACTCACACACTTACACACTCACACACTCATACCCATCTGTGATATGATGAGGTTTGCCAGTGATGGTACAACGAGCCAAGATGTGTGTACCACCACGTAACAAAGCTCTAAGCAAGCTTCAAGACCTTTGCACCTATCCTCTGTGGCCACCACCCGTTGGTGTCATGTTCTCAAAGGTCCAGGTTCCTAAAATCTTAACTCAGTTTCCATCAGAGGCAAGCAACAGTAGGAGGAGGGAGCTTGCTCTGATTGTGTGTTTTTTTTTTTTTTTTTGATTGGTACATCTCATATCAGCTCATTGTTCAGGAGGAAACAATGCCTTATAAGAGGTTCCTTTTGGCTTGCATTTTAGTCTGAATTTTGCTTGATAATTGCACACTAATTGCTTGAATGTGGGAAACTGATCTATTTATAGGAGTCCTGGGCACAGGAGGGAGAGTGTGTACCATGAAGAAGGCTAGGAAGAGGGGAGGGGAGGAGGGTGACCAAAAAGAGGCCCAGATAGGTAGAGAGGAGCTGAGTGAGGAGGAGAGTTTTGAAGAAGCTTGCTTCTTTCATGAGGAAAACGTTGGTTTTAAAAGAACATGAAAAGAGTAGGTTTGGAAATGCTCAATGGACTGACAGGCAGAATACCGCAGGGTTGTAAATGAGCAAATGGATCATCTGTCCCTCAGTTGTGCCATGCAAATGTTGGAAATGCCCGATCAAGATATCGGTTTAATTGACATTTAATTAATATGGACAGAAAGTTGCAGTTTTGTTATGAGCCAAAACTGAGATATCTGCCCTTTAGTTCTGCCTGTCTGTCAGTTCAGACATTAAATTCCTTGATCAAGAAATGTTTTTGTGTATGTACTACTCAGACAAAAGGATTCTAGATCATACCTACCCTCTCGTTAATACACCTTTTTCTTTATCTGCTGTTATTCAGAGGCTTTTAAAATTCAAAATTAAAATGTACACCGTCAGTATTGGAATTGGTCACATTTACACATATTGTAAATAACACTTTTAAAGAAAGAAAAGGTTAAGAGGTGCTCACTTTTATAGTTTTTGTTTCCTTTCAAAGAGTCAAACTGGGGAGGAAAACAAAGCACAGTGTGAATACTCTCAATTCCAAATCACTGGCTCCATAAGGCAACAGTATGACCAATCTGCAGGAACAGGATTATCCACCTGCCACAGTCCACGTGTTGGCGTGCAGAAACGTAGGTTGTTCTCTATTCAGAAGCTTCTGGAGTTGCTTTCTTTTAGGTAGATCTAGCGTAGACGAAGATGAATCTCTGTAACACCACTTTTCTTCTAGAATGTATTTTTGTGGCGATGTAATCACTCTACAAAAAAAGATAAAACAAAGGTTATTTCAGAATTGAGATGAAGAGTTTTCACCCCCGACCTCACTCTAAAACAAAATCTAACTCGAAGTTTTGGAGAGATACTGAGGAGACTGCCTTGGCATGGGTGCGCTTAATCAGCTCTGCTAGCTGCCTGTGACGAATACCAGCACAAGCCAGTCAAAGACCCAAGAGCAGTTCCTTTGTCTACGTCCTTTTGCCACCCGGACATTTCTAGCGGCTGACGGCTTTGCAGTTATGTGCACTGCTCCACTTCCAGTGAGCCTGGCATTAGGCTACCATTGTTTTTCCTTCTCCAACATGCTTGATTATGCCTTCACCAGATCACGTGGCACACATCAGCAGATTTAAGTATGGCCCTGGTAATAGCTTTTAGGCTTGATCAATGAATGTCTTCTAAAAGAACAAAAATCATAACTGCAAAGGAGGTTTAACTGGAGTCCCCATCAGCCTAATAAAAACAAATTTCCAGGATTAGTCTCTAGGCTTTCTACTTATTGAGACAGTGCATAAGAGAGGGTGGTGGTGGTCGAGGTGGGAATCAGGCATAGATGAAGGTGCTGGACTGGGGATAAATGGTCAGCAAATTGATTATGGGATGCCGGTGTCACATAAGATTGGGTCATATCCATGTCCCCAGTATTCTATTTCATTTGAGACAACCTCAACAAATCCATGCAAGGAACCTTTTGGAGTTGCCTTCAGTAAACCAGAAATATAAGCTTTAACTATTCATTGTTTCATCAGAAGTTTTCGAAATGTACCCAACTTGCAACTGGAAGGTGCATCTAAGGTCTCCAGTCCCCTTTCACCTTTATGTGGCTGTTGGGCATGATTCACTTAGAGGTCTGTTCCTCCACAGTAAGGAGCTTAAAAAAATAAATGGCCTAGAGTAGTAAAGCTATTCAGTTTTCCTGTCAGCCGTGGACTTAGGAAGTTTTCGATCCTGGGTATCTAGTTTATACAGGAAGAAAGCCACCTGGGATAAGCACAGGTTAACCGTGGAAGTCCATATTAGCAACTATGTTATTTCCTGCAAAATTAGGTGCACTCAGCAGCAGACATCAGCTACGTGTTTTTACCTGAAATTCAAGGTTAGAAAGGTACATCACCTAATATAATTGACTATTTGGTTTTACAATGAAAATATCATCATGTGTTCAAGTAAGCATACTGCATGTACTTTAACGGGAATTTCTTATTATTTGATATGATACATTGCATTTCAAACACATTTTTTTCCAGAAACATATCAGCTAAGCTCTATATAGCTACCCCATCAACAGTAAGCCTGAAATTAGGACGCAGTCTTCTTTCTTTCTTCATTTTTTGTCAATGACAGGGGCTCTACTAAAAATGACACGTATTTCACTTGCTTTCCTATGACACCTACACCAGCATTGAATGAATGCTTTATAACTTACTAAAATCTGTCAAATAACTGTAACTTCAAGTTAACTTTACAAAATAGATCTGTCAATTCTTGGTAAACTGCTAGTAGAAAGGAATAAGACTATCTGAAACAGGATAATCCCAAAATAATTTGATTTGCTTTCAAAATGCATTATGGGAACTTGAGCTACAGATTTGCCTTTATAATCCTGTTTCACTTAGGCCAATATTAAAATTAGCTTACATTCCCTGAGCACATTCCAAAGAACAGCATAAGGAAGTAACTCAGAAGCTTTCTGGGTGGCAATGGAAAGAAATCCGAGGTCAAAACTGAGTCATGAACAGTCCCCACAAGGGCTATTAAAGGGCTGACAATTCAACCGTAGATGTGTCTCCTGTTCATTTTTATAGTAGTTTACCGACAGCAAGGCAAATGGCAATGATTTTAATAACAAGGTCTGGTTTTAATGTATCAGTCACATTAATAATGACATGTCACAAATAATTACCTTGTTGTATATTCTTGTTTTCCAATTAATCAAAGACTCTTTTAATGACAAGTTAATATCACCCCTTTTAATGGGTGGTATATATACCATTCAAACAATTATTCACTGCAAGAGAGAAAACTTCAATGGATTATGACGCTTCAAAACACTTCTCTCTTCCTCCAAAATCTGGCAGGTAGCATTTTCTTCTCAAAAGCTAATGAAGTGAACACTCTGTTTCCATGTGTGTCTGGTGCAAACCTGCACATCAATCTTTAGTATACTACTAAAGCACACATGACTTCAATATCCCTGGAAATCTGCAGGGGAAGCAAAGCAGGGAGTTCCTCCTGGGCAGTGCAGACCTCTTTCCTAGGAATCATGAACATGTCTCTATTACAGTCTAAAACAGCAATGGTCCCCCTGCCCAGAGCAAGGGGAAAGTATACCAAAATCTCCAGTTGTTCGCTCATTCTCTTTACATTCTCCCCTGTCTTCTTGTCTCAACTATCTTTTCAATTCCAATTTTCATAGAACTCAAAAATGTCTTTCAAGGTCTTTTAAAAATCCTCACTCTGTTCATTAGTATGCTATCCCAGGGATCAACTGCTGATCACATAAATCGGGGCAACCAAGTAAAGTGTTGAAGGAAACTAAGCAAAAGGAAATACAGAGAAATGGAAGAGTATACTCCAAAATGGGTACATAGTAACACAGTTATATTATTTATCATTGTCTCTGGAGTACACGAGCTAGCTTCCAAAAGTTCACACAAAATGTAATGAAAATAAGTTTATTTTTGTGCAAAAACAATTTTGGATACTATGCATAGTTTTTTTTATAATTGCATTTCCATGCACTTAAAAAAAAAAGATTATTGGGGCCGGTGCTGTGGCATAGCAGGTAAAGTCGCCGCCTATAGTGCCAGCATCCCATATGGGCACCAGTTCAAGTCCCAGATGCTCCACTTCCAATCCAGCTCTCTGCTATGGCCTGGGAAAGCAGTGGAACATGGCCCAAGTCCTTGGGCCCCTGCACCCACGTGGGAGACCCGGAAGAAGCTCCTGGCTCCGATCGGCGCAGCTCTGGCCGTTGTGGCCAATTGGGGAGTGAACCAGCAGATGGAAGACCTCTTTTCTCTCTCTCTCTCTCTCTCTCTCTGCCTCTCTGTGTAACTCTTTCAAATAAATAAGTAATCTTAAAAAAGATTATTTATTTAAAAGGCAGAGATACAGAGAGAAAAAGAGAGACAGAGGGAGATCCTCCATCCACTGGTTTACTCCCCAAATGGCCACAATAGGCCAGGAGCTTTTCTGGGTCTCCTACATGGGTGCATGGGCTCAAGCACTTGGGCCATCCTCCACTGCCCTCCCAGGCACATTAGCAGGGAGCCGAATCAGAAGTGGAAGTGCTGGGATGCCAGCACTGCAGATGGAGGCTTAACATTCTATACCTCAGCACCGGCCCCTCCATGCACTTTTTGAAACCCCCTAATGTATAATTTTTATTTTCAATTAAGAACAGGTCACACCTTCCCTGTAACCTGGACTTGATAAAAATGAAGTGCTATCCCTTAAGGGTGAAACCGTGCAATAATTGCTGCTAGTCTTTACAACACCAATCCTGCCAGACTATTATCTCCTACATAGATCAGATGATAAAATGCAACTTCTCCCCATGGTGGCAACAGCTTGGTGACAGAAAAGCCAAAAGAATCTGTAAGGGAAATGGCCGGCGCCGCGGCTCACTAGGCTAATCCTCCGCCTAGCGGCGCCGGCACACCGGGTTCTAGTCCCGGTCGGGGCGCCGGATTCTGTCCCGGTTGCCCCTCTTCCAGGCCAGCCCTCTGCTGTGGCCAGGGAGTGCAGTGGAGGATGGCCCAGGTGCTTGGGCCCTGCACCCCATGGGAGACCAGGAAAAGCACTTGGCTCCTGGCTCCTGCCATCGGATCAGCGCGGTGCGCCGGTCGCAGCGCGCTGGCCGCGGCAGCCATTGGAGGGTGAACCAACGGCAAAGGAAGACCTTTCTCTCTGTCTCTCTCTCTCACTGTCCACTCTGCCTGTCAAAAAAAAAAAAAAAAAAAAAAAAAAGAATCTTGTTAAGGGAAATGGATGACACTTGTAAAACCTCCTTCTCAGAGTTCAGCTCAATTGGTTCACACCTGTTAGCTGGTCCTGGACCACTTCAACATGGTTGTTTCAGTCTTGATAAGAACACAAACTGGGGCTGGCGCTGCAGCTCACTAGGCTAATCCTCTGCCTGCAGCGCTGGCACACCGGGTTCTAGTCCCGGTCGGGGCGCCGGATTCTGTCCCGGTTGCCCCTCTTCCAGGCCAGCTCTCTGCTGTGGCCAGGGAAGGCAGTGGAGGATGGCCCAAGTGCTTGGGCCCTGCACCCCATGGGAGACCAGGAGAAGCACCTGACTCCTGCCATCTGATCAGTGCAATGCGCCGGCCGCAGTGCACCGGCCACGGCGGCCATTGGAGGGTGAACCAATGGCAAAAGGAAGACCTTTCTCTCTGTCTCTCTCTCTCTCTCTCTCTCTCTCTCACTGTCCACTCTGTCAAAGAAAGAAAGAAAGAAAGAAAGAAAGAAAGAAAGAAAGAAGACAAGACCACAAACTGGGAATCAGCTACAGGATTTTCATCCCAGGGCAGCTTGTCCACCACCTCCCAACACACACTTGAGCCACTTTGGTCTGCTGCAAAGTTACCACCAACTTAAAGAATGCAAGTTACGAGAATCCTAATACCGGCAGTTTCCAATTTAAAAGACACATGTTCTAAGGCTCATTGTTTGGTCGATACTCAGAGTAAACTACCTCATAGAAATCAAGTCAAGGAAATGGTAGGTAGGTTCATGGTTTCACCTACACACATCTGTATTTAACCTACGCAGTTCCTGAACTAACAGAGGGACTGCTTTGAGTACACGCAGCCATCATTTCTGCGTAAAGATGCATTTGAAGTTTCCATCTATGACTCCAGGAAAATATGTCTTCCAGCCATGGCAACAAAAACAGTGTTCCCTAATCTGAAGTGGCTGGAACAGTTTCGGGCACAGTGACCCCAGAGAGGAAATGGTAAGAGCTGCCACCACA